AGCGGAAAGTACAGAGAGCTGCCATACAGGCCCTGCTCCCACACATGCGTGGCCTCCCCCGCTGTCAACATCCCACACCAGAGTGGTTCACTTCAATGGTGTGATTTTTATTTCCTGTTTCTTTGCTTACTGGAAAGGTTGAATCTTTAAAAAAAAAGTGCTTATTTTTAGCTCCTCTTTTGTGAATTGCTTTCCATTTTCTTTGCTTAGTGATTAAGAAACAACTCAAATGAAGTAAGATTGGTTATAGCCTTTGTCATCTCTATAGGGTCTAAGGCAGTGTTACTCCAGGAGTGGTCTATGGACCATGAACCTCCACATTCCCAGGCCCATTCCCTAGCTTTGATTTTCTGGGCATGGTGCTCAGGAATTTGCATTATATAACAAGCACCCCAAAGATAACTGAGAACCTCTGGTCTTATGCCATTTTATAAACAAAGGTTCGAAACATTACATATAAAAAGAATAAGTGTTGCTGTCCATTAACTATAACTAATAGGTGTTACTTCCTATTAAGAGAGAAAGGGAGGAGAGCTCGCCAGCTCCTTTTCATCTGTGGGAGAATAACAGAAACACATTAGTCAGACCCGAAGTTTTCCTGCAAGAATCTGTTCAGATGACTAACGTTTTGTCATTCACAGGTGATTGTAACTAGTTTGCAATCCTCTTCGTAAAGCAGGCTCATTCAGAAAAAGCTGGAAACTATAGGAAATAACAGAGAGGTCTGGCAATTCCAAGTTCCTTTCAGTGAAATATTTCTCTTACTGTCACTCCATCTATAGAGGCTTCAACCAGGTTTCCAATAGGAAAACACAGAATACTCACATTTCTAATTTCTACTTTTTACTAGGAAGTTTGAAAATCCTAAAAAATGTACATAAGTGTACTTTTCTGTATGTATGTTATACTTAAAAAAATAAGGAAAAAATAGTTGAGAAAGGGGAGCACAAAAACAATTTCTATAAGCATAATTATATTGTCTATATCTGGACTTTTCTGTTCATTTTCAAATGGGACTGCAAATTGTCAGTATATCAGAAAACATCAGATTTCTGGCAATAAATAGAAACAGTAGATACCCAGGAATGTATGCTCAAGAAACCTCTAAATTGGTACAGGAGGTGAGGCGAAGGTGATGGTTTAGTGTTTCTGCTTCCACTCTCTTCCCAATCCCAGTGCCTCCTTCCTGAACAGCTGGATAGGTGGGCAGGAAGGCCTGGGAGAGCCATGGAGAGAGGATCTGGGCCCAGTGGTTGAGAGTTCATGGAGGAGGGGCCAGTCTTACTGCCTTGCGCCATGTGACTGAGCCAGTCTCCTGCCTGCCTATAGAGGTGGGCTGTGTCCCCACTGCCTCTGGCTGGGGAAGCTGAGGAGGGCAGGATGCAGAAAGGCTTCCTCCAGGTGTCTCACCTGGAGACTGTCCCTGGGCACTCACTGGCTGCCTGTCCAGCCCACAGGCTCTTTCCACTATACTCAGGAGTGTACACCTACTTAAGGCACATCAATGAGCAGAGAAAGAAAAGTCACATCACACCTAAGGGGGCCCAGCAGCCAGAGGGAGGAAGAATAAGCACAGCCCTCAGAGCAGGTGCAAATGAAATAGGAAGCAGGTGGATCTTGAATGAAAAATAATTTGTGCATTGAAGGAGATCCAAGTGTGACATAAAATTTCTTCCTTGAACTTAGCTTTTTAAAAATCATAGATAAATGAGAGGCTATTAGATGCCCATAAGACAAAGTAGAAGAAATCCCTGAAACATCAGTTCCAAATGCAAAGAGAGAGAAACCATGTAGGAAATGATAAAAGCCTTGGTGAACAGACCCAGGACCCCTGGCATGTGAATAATAGGAGTCCCAGAGGGAGGAAAAGAAACAGATGGAGAAGAAGTGTTAGTCCCATAGAAGAAGAAGTTTTACCTGAGCTGAAGAAAAATCTGAGACTGTAGATTGAAAAGTTCACTGAGTTCCAGGTAGGATTGAATTAAAAAAAAAAAAAAAGGCCAACAATGAGATAAATTCTGATAAAATTTCTGAAGTCTAAAGATGAAGAAAAATCTTATAAACTTCTAGGCATAAGGAGCCAATGTACTTATAGAGGAAGAAGATTCCGACTTCCTAACAGCCTAGAAGTTCATTTTAACTCGAGAATTCTATATCCTGTTAATTTATCACCCACCCTTCAGGGTGAGGGAAGGATGATTATTGACACGTCAGGGATTCAGAGAGTCTTTCCTCCACATGTCTGATGTGAGGAAAATGCTAGGGGAAGGATTCTAACCAAAATACTGTGCATCTAAACAGAGTCCCTTAGACAGGAGAAAATGAAAAGACACAAAGGTGATCAGTGATCCTTAAAAAAAGACCTATATAATGAAACATAAATAGATATTGGTAAATACCTAGGACTATGTAACAGAAGTGCTGAAAAGGAAAAAGATAGTGAAATACAAGAGACATTCAGCAAGCAAAATTCTAATTATAGCCCAACTAGAAGTATGGAGATATTTTAGCAAAGCCTCAGGGTGGGGGAAGGGCAAGAGGCGAGAAAAGTAAAACGGTTCCAAGTAAGTCACGTGGGGTTGAGGGGCGAAGGGGTAGGCATGAAGGTGTGCTGGATGTCTCACACTGGGTGAGTTTTGCAAGGACAGAGCTCGGAGTTGACGTGCATATGGTGTGCACACTGGGAAGGGAGTTGACTGTTCATTGAAGGACGGTGTCCGGGAGCATTCTCTAGTTAACAAGGGGAGAAAAGGGAACAAATGGCAACCTGACTAAACCAGTTGAAACAAGGAAAAGGAGGAAGCAAACAAGAGAAAGCAACATGAATTATAAGCATGAAGTGTGATGAAAAGATTTCGGAATGCGCGGATAAGCGAGGCAGGTGAGTGTCACGTGTGGAGGCACACTCTATGGAGCCAGACCTGCTGGGTCCAGACCCCAGCTCTGCCACTCATGGACCAGGTGGCCCAGGGCAAGTGACAACCTCTTAGAGATCGCACCATCTGTGAAATGTGGGTAATCATAGTACCTCCTACATAGGGCGTTGTGAGGATTGAATGAGCTAACGTGCCTGAAGTACTGGAACAGTGCCTGGTGTACAATTAGACCAAGCAAGAGTTTGCTTTATTATAGAGTAGCAATATTAGTAAGTTTATAAAATAGAGTAGCAATATTAGTAAGTACAGTAGCAGTATTAGTATCAGGAAAGGTCAAATTTAATGTTGAAAGCACTAAATAGGGTAAAGAAGGTTACAAGAGTAGCAATATTAGTAAGTACAGTAGCAGCATTAGTATCAGGAAAGGTCAAATTTAATGTTGAAAGCACTAAATAGGGTAAAGAAGGTTACATGTAATGGTAATAAACACTTTTATCATAGATCTATATGTATCAAATAAAATGGCAGCTAAGTACACAGAGTAATAAGTATTAAAGGTACGAAGAGAACTTGATGGAAACATTCTACAGTGGGAGAATTCATAATTCCTCTTTCGCAGCTGTAGGATCGAGTAGTCAAAAATAAATAAGATCTAGAGAAGATGAATAATGGAATCAGCAAACTCAATGTAATAGACAATGTTGAACCTTTCATTCAGGGACTAGAAAATATATATTTTTGCATGTTTGTGAAACATTTAAAAAAATCAGGACTGGATGTTTAGCTCAGTTGGTTAGAGTGTGGCGCTGATAACACCAGGGTCCAGGTTCAGTCCCTGTACTGGCCAGCTGCCAAAAACAAACAAAAAATAATCTACTAGGTGCCACAAAGCAAATCTTACCACATTCAAAAAATTAGATATTTTACAGATCGTATTTTTTAATCAAAAGCTAATACAACTAAAAGTAAATAATAAAAATGACCAAAAGAACGTAACTGCTTGGAAATGAAGAAACACAGTTCTAAGTACTGTGTACATCAGTATGATGTATTTGGGAGGCATTGGTTCCGGGACCTCCTGTAGATACCAAAATCCGTGAATGCCCAAGTCTGTGATATAAAATGGCATGTGTTACTTGCATATAACCTATGCACATCCACCATATACTCTAAATCACCTCTAGATTACTTATNATAATAAAAATGACCAAAAGAACGTAACTGCTTGGAAATGAAGAAACACAGTTCTAAGTACTGTGTACATCAGTATGATGTATTTGGGAGGCATTGGTTCCGGGACCTCCTGTAGATACCAAAATCCGTGAATGCCCAAGTCTGTGATATAAAATGGCATGTGTTACTTGCATATAACCTATGCACATCCACCATATACTCTAAATCACCTCTAGATTACTTATAATGCCTAATACAATGTAAGCACTATGTAAATGCTATAGCAAATAGTTGCTATACTGTATTGTTTTTGTATTTGTACTATTTTTATTATTTTTTAAAATTTTTTCACGTATTTTTGATCTGCAGTTGGTTGAATCCATGGATGTGGAACCCATGGATATGGAGGCCAACTGTAATCTTTAGATATCTAGATATTTGTAGATCAAAGAGGAATTCAACACTGAAATTAAAACAGTAAAAACAAAAAAACCCACTTCACACCCAACCTATGGACATAGCAAGTACTGTTTTAAAAAGAAAATGTCTTTATTGTTAAGGAAGAAATAATAAAAATAAAGGAACTTAGTTTTTATTGGTAAACTAAGGGACTTGGTCCAAGAGTAGTTTATAAGGTTTTTCTCTGTCTTTCTAAACCTCCTGTTCTCTGTATCTGTGTATTCAGGTGACTGTTGAAAAGGAGCCTCTTATGAAAAAATGAGTTAAACATTCTTATTTTTGCTAAAAGTATAGGATGATTTTGTGGCAGCATGTAAATTCTCAAATGACTCTGTTAGTGGTTTTCTGTTTTGTCCAGGTACTCCAGGAACAAATCCGTGCCAGGGACAACATTAGCTACGGAACTAATTCTGCCTTAAAGACCCTGGAGATCTTTTGTGGCAGCATGTAAATTCTCAAATGACTCTGTTAGTGGTTTTCTGTTTTGTCCAGGTACTCCAGGAGCAAATCCGTGCCAGGGACAACATTAGCTACGGAACTAATTCTGCCTTAAAGACCCTGGAGATGCGTCAGCTCTCTGGTTTGGGAGATCTTCGAGGAAGAGTGGCAAGGTAGGTCTTCAAATGCTGGGGACTCTGCTCATCACAAACTGTTTTTCATAAACTCTGTTTTAGCAGAGAATATATTCATGAAGCTCAGAAGCAAATTTCTTGCATTTTAGTGCATCCCCTCCCTGCCTTGCCCATAAAATCTAGCAGTAGAAGTTAAACCTGTTTGTGAGCATGCCATGATTTCTTGTGTTTCTGTGAGTGAAAGTTTTAAAAACAGCTCTTTCAGCTCACATAGTATGAAAAGTGCTGCTCTCTCTGCTCAGTGTACTCTGTGGACCAGCAGTGTGGGCATCAACCTTGTTAGAAACGTGCAATCTCAGGGCCACCCCACAAGTGCTGAATTAGAATCTGTGTTTTAACAAGATCCCTGGATTTATGGCATGCTTATGTTTGAGAAGCACTGTACCAGGACAGTGTCTAGGATTATTTTTATCTGGCTGGGACAAAATTGTACAAAGTATTTGTGGGCCTCTTCTGCCCTCTGCTGCTGTTAAGAGCCAAGCACAGGAACGTGTGCCAGCACTGGAACTGCAGGCAAATAGGCAATTGGGATCAGCCTGAGATAACAAGGAGGTGGTCTGCGGGGAGTGGAGGTGGAAGAAAGAACAGGGACCCACAGGGTCCAAGGCCTCTTTGAAGCACAGAGGGTTAGTGTTAGGGTGTATCTGTGCAGACAACACACGGAGGGCCTTGGATGCTGGGCATGTATGTTTGAGTCTGCTGGGTAAAGATCTACGTACCAGCAGAGGGCTGCATGGATTGAATGGAGGACTGGTTGATCACACTCCTTCTGTGGTTTTCTGTGCTCATCAGGATGAACTCCAGTCTCCCTAGTATGACCCTCGGGGTCGGACACCCTCAGACCTCCTCACCTCTCTCTCCCCTTGCCCTGTACCTTTCAGCAGCAATCAGCTGTTTGTTAGTCCCTGAATAGCCACGTTCTCCTATCGCTGTGCCTTTGCACCTGCTGTTCTGCACCTAGCATGCCTCTCCTCCTTTTCTAACTTCTTGTCAGTCTTTAAAGCTCAGCTCCTATGTCACCTCCTCAGGAAGTCTTCCCTGACACCCCCCTCGTACTTTCTTCTTTCTTGAGTCTCTCTGTTGTCTTCTCACTCTGCCATCTTCACTGTCTTGGGCTGGGGTTCCATATCTTTTATTTCTGTAGGCAAATGCCTGGACAGTCTGTGGAAAACAGTGGATACTCAACAAATGTTTGTTTGAATGAATGAATGATCTAGAAAAATCACTGTAATAGGAATGGAAAACCTTGAATCCTTATTTGTAGACTTTGGCTTAAAAGCAACCCCAGCTCTGTGATAGCTCTCAGAACAGCAAGGAAGTAGAAAAACTTGAGAGCTTGAGAGCTCTAGGGCAGAGTAGGGATTTCAGGAGAAGCTTGAGGACCTTTGCAGTCACTTTAGGTGCAGATGAAGACCACCTGAGGCAAAATGTGTAAGGGGCTTAATGCAGTGCTTGGGATGGAGTGAGCGTGCAGCAAATGGCGGCTATTTCAACAGTAGTGAAATTGTCCTTATGACACTGGTTCTAACAGAAAGTAGAGAAATTATTTTGAAATACTTTCAGGAGTCTCATATTCCTCTTCAGTTTCTTATCAACTTCTCTACCTAACGTATTGTTTCCCTCTAACAAATGTTTTTATTCTAAAGCTATCAAAAACGTATTATGAGCACTAGGTATTTTTGCTTTGTTTTGTGGCTATATTTGTCTTTCTCCTGGAATGCTGGGACATTGTTAAGATGAACTCATGTGAAATAAAATTTTTTTTGACAAAATTTTGGCTTTCTTGCATTCATTATGTAATTGTATTGAAGGTGTATGAACTTTTTAAGTGATATTGTTAAATTAAAATTGCTGTATTATTTCATATTTAGTTTTATAGTTTTTATGGTTCCATTGGTGATGTAATTAATAGGAAACAGACCCTGATTTTTTTCCCTGTAGATCCAGCTCAGAAGGGCGAAGGCAGGTTCTCCACAGAGGTGAGAGACACCTTTGCCCCACTAAGCAGAGCTCCCCTAAACAAGATTTGGTCAGAGGTTTCCTTCCTACTTCTCCCTGAAGCAGAGCTCAAATACATTAGCTTTCCTGTTCCTACTGGAACATTTGGTCCATTATCTGGCTTGTCTTCTCCACTTTTCCAAGGCTCAGTGGCCACTTTCACTTTCCTCTGTGAGGTCCGTTTGCATGACGACAGAGCCTTAGGGGAAAAATATCTGTGTGCTACTGGAACATTTGGTCCATTATCTGGCTTGTCTTCTCCACTTTTCCAAGGCTCAGTGGCCACTTCCACTTTCCTCTGTGAGGTCCGTTTGCATGACGACAGAGCCTTAGGGGAAAAATATCTGTGTGCTAGGTAGATGTGTAAGTTCCTGCCTCGGTGCATATTGGGAATCGCAGTAGGATAATACTGGGAGCCCTTCATTAATGGGCCCAACAGAGATGCATGTGGCCTCCTTTCTCTCTCTCTCTCTCTCTCTCTCTCTCTCTCTCTCTCTCTCTTGACATCTTTAGTGAGATATAACTCACATACCAAATAAGTCAGCTATTCAAAGTATGCAGTTCAGTGGTTTTTACGATATTCACAGAGTTGTGTAACTATTGCTGCAATAGATTTCAGGGCATTTTTATCATCCAAAAAGAAACACCCATTAGCAGTTGCTCCCCATTTCCCCCCAACCTCCCCTGTTCCCCAGTCCATTGGAACCACCACCTACTTTTGGTCTCTTATGGATTTGCTTCTTCTGGACATTTTATGTGAATGGAACCATTCCATATGTGGTCTTACCCTTAGTATGTTTTCAGGGTTCATCTGTGCTGTAGCATAGGTCAGTATTTAATTCCTTTTTATGGCTGAATAATATTCTTTTGTATACCACATTCTGTTTATCCGTTCCTCAATTGGACATTTGGGTTGCTTCCACTTTTTGGCTCTTAAAATTAGTGCTGCTGTGAACATTCGTGTACAAGTTTTTGTGTGGCCATGTTTTAATTTCTCTTGGATGTGTACCTAGAATGGAATTGTTGAGTAATATGTTAACTGTATGTTTAACCTTTAGGAGCAGAAGAGCTAGACTGTTTTCCAAAGTGGCTGTGCTATTCACATTGCCACCAACAGTGTATGAGGGTTTCTATTTCTCTACTTCCTCACCAACGCTTGCTCCCTGTTCTTCTTCTTTTTTTTTTTTAATTTTTATTTTGTCAATATACAATGTATATGATTATTATGGCCCTTCACCGACACCTCCCGCCCTCCTCCCTCTCTCCCCTCCCCCCCAAGAATGTCCTTTCCGTTTGCTTGTTGTAACAACTTCA